CAAGCAATTGGTATCGATGACATGCATCAACCACGTGAGCGAACCTGACCACCCTATACCGTTAGTCGCCTCTTCCGGCAAGCATAGTAGCCTTTTATGGCAAGGATGGATTGCTGAAGACCTATTCTACCCCGGATCTTCACGGGTCTCACAATATGGACCAAACCTTTACATTACATGGATACCTACGTTACAAATTGCAGTCTGTCTCGGTCAACAAATACGCAGCGTATGGAATGTCAATGGTCTGTGATAGCGTGGGTCTCCTGGCCTGTGATTATAATTACCTCAAAACATGACTTTCGGGATCGGATGATCCGGCTCACTGACTTGGTTGATGCATGTCATCGTGTCCCTATTGCGTGATCGATGCTGGTGATGCCAATCACTGGTTTGTCTGGTTCAGACTTCATTATTTCCAGACCGCTGTCATTTAGCTGGAATATTGCTGAGTGCGGCTTTAAAACAACGAAGACAAAAAATATAAAAAATAGATATGGATGCAGGTAGGCATAATTTTCATGGGGATCATCTTTCGTTGACCACTCGTGTAATTCCGGGTTAAGCCGACATACAATTATTAAATTATAATAATACAAAGCAATATGTGTCTTCTTCTCAGTCATGTCTAAGACCTCATACATGGATCCTTAAACGATAATAAACTGGTCTCTCTCCGACTGTGCTGTGACGGAAAGTGGCATTTGAAAATGTCACACGACAGATAAATTAATAAATTAGGATTACTTATTGACGAACACACGTTCCTCGTACTGTCATTTCAACATACCTCTCAAGGCTCTTTTCCTTCTTAACGTTTCAAAATACCAAACGCATCAAGGTTAGATGAGGTGAAATGGGGTTTAACTTCGCGACCAAGATTATTGCACTTATATGGCGACGTGCATGCACGTGTACGTGTGTGTGTGGCTGCTTGTACTAGTCCGGACTGATGCCGATTTATAGTGCTAGCACATTGAGATACCATGCCGCAGTTTAACATGAATACCCCACTCAGACACAGTCTACTGACTCCGAGCCGACCAGTCCTTGTTTTAGCCCCTTAATGCCGAGCGCCAGACAGGGTAACAACAAGAACCATCTTTTAACGTCTCTTGGTATGACGCGGCCGGGGATCGAACGCCGGGCCTTCCGCTCTTCGGGCGGACGCTCCACCATTAGACCACGGAGGCGGTCAAACGCAACAAGGTTAAGCTGCTGTAAAATGTCTACAAACACGACCCTCTGCATGTATCTCTGGTTATCTTACTTATCATCACGCTGTCAAGCAGCAACTGACTGCTTCTGTGTATGTGATTAGAAGATTCCCGTTTTTATATTGTCATATACTTGGCAAAATATGAATCTGGACCAGACAATCCGGTGATTCCTTGACGTCCTACACCGTCGGGAATGATGCCACGTGGGGACCTGTACACCGGACTCCGAACGCTTGTCAATACAAGAATACTGCAATATTCACCAGCTGGATGTGGAATTGTTAATGACTTCTCAGTGGATCTTCGTTCGAGATCCCCGATCCCGGATTCGCGATTTCAGTCTCAGTTTAAGCATCTCCTCCCTCATAATTTGTTCACGTAGACTTAGTCTGTTTGCATCGCTATTTAACGTCCAACCACCATTGCATGTGTCTGAAAATAAGGTCCAACCACTATTCTGTGTGTCTAAGCATAACGTCCAACTACCAATGCTTTTCTCTAAACATATCGTCCAACCACCATTGCTTGTGTCTGAACATAGCGTCCTACAACCAGTGCCTTCGTCTGAACATAACGTCCTACCACCACTGCTTGTGTCTAAACATATCGTCCAATCACGAATGCTCGTGTCTGAGCATAACATCCTACAACCAGTGCTTTCGTCTGAACATAACGTCCTAACACCACTGCTTTCGTCTGAACATAACGTCCTACCACCACTGCTTGTGTCTAAACATAACGTCCTACCACCACTGCTTGTGTCTAAACATAACGTCCTACCACCACTGCTTGTGTCTAAACATAACGTCCTACCACCACTGCTTGTGTCTAAACATAAGGTCCTACCACCACTGCTTGTGTCTAAACATAACGCCCTACCACCACTGCTTGTGTCTAAACATAACGCCCTACCACCACTGCTTGTGTCTAAACATAACGTCCTACCACCACTGCTTGTGTCTAAATATAACGTCCTACCACCACTGCTTGTGTCTAAACATAACGTCCTACCTCCACTGCTTGTGTCTAAACATAAGGTCCTTCCACCACTGCTTGTGTCTAAACATAAGGTCCTACCACCACTGCTTGTGTCTAAACAAAAGGTCCTTCCACCAAAGCTTGTGTCTAAACATAACGTCCTACCACCACTGCTTGTGCCTAAACATAACGTCCCACCGGCACTCCTTGTGTCTAAACATAACGTCCTACCACCACTGCTTGTGTCTAAACAAAAGGTCCTACCACCACTGCTTGTGTCTAAACATAACGTCCTACCACCACTGCTTGTGTCTAAACATAACGCCCTACCACCACTGCTTGTGTCTAAACATAAGGTCCTACCACCACTGCTTGTGTCTAAACATAACGTCCTACCACCACTGCTTGTGTCTAAATATAACGTCCTACCACCACTGCTTGTGTCTAAACATAACGTCCTACGACCACTGCTTGTGTCTAAACATAACGTCCTACCACCACTGCTTGTGTCTAAACATAACGTCCTACCACCACTGCTTGTGTCTAAACATTACGTCCTACCACCACTGCTTGTGTCTAAACATAACGTCCCTACCACCACTGCTTGTGTCTAAACAAAAGGTCCTACCACCACTGCTTGTGTCTAAACATAAAGTCCTACCACCACTGCTTGTGTCTAAACAAAACGTCCTACCACCACTGCTTGTGTCTAAACATAACGTCCTACCTCCACTGCTTGTGTCTAAACATAAGGTCCTACCACCACTGCTTGTGTCTAAACATAACGTCCTACCACCACTGCTTGTGTCTAAACATAACGTCCTACCACCACTGCTTGCGTCTAAATATAACGTCCTACCACCACTACTTGTGTCTAAACATAACGTCCTACCACCACTGCTTGTGTCTAAACAAAAGGTCCTACCACCACTGCTTGTGTCTAAACATTACGTCCTACCACCACTGCTTGTGTCTAAACATTACGTCCTACCACCACTGCTTGTGTCTAAACAAAAGGTCCTACCACCACTGCTTGTGTCTAAACATAACGTCCCACCGGCACTGTTTGTGTCTAAACATAACGTCCTACCACCACTGCTTGTGTCTAAACATAACGTCCTACCACCACTGCTTGTGTCTAAACAAAAGGTCCTACCACCACTGCTTGTGTCTAAACATAACGTCCTACCACCACTACTTGTGTCTAAACATAACGTCCTACCACCACTGCTTGTGTCTAAACATAACGTCCTACCACCACTGCTTGTGTCTAAACAAAAGGTCCTTCCACCACTGCTTGTGTCTAAACATAACGTCCTACCACCACTGCTTGTGTCTAAACATAACGTCCCAACGGCACTCCTTGTGTCTAAACATAAGGTCCTACCACCACTGCTTGTGTCTAAACAAAAGGTCCTACCACCACTGCTTGTGTCTAAACATAACGTCCTACCACCACTGCTTGTGTCTAAACATAACGCCCTACCACCACTGCTTGTGTCTAAATATAACGTCCTACCACCACTGCTTGTGTCTAAACATAACGTCCTACCACCACTGCTTGTGTCTAAACATAACGCCCTACCACCACTGCTTGTGTCTAAACATAACGTCCTACCACCACTGCTTGTGTCTAAACATAACGCCCTACCACCACTGCTTGTGTCTAAATATAACGCCCTGCCACCACTGCTTGTGTCTAAACATAACGTCCTACCACCACTGCTTGTGCCTAAACATAACGTCCTACCACCACTGCTTGTGCCTAAACATAACGTCCTACCACCACTGCTTGTGTCTAAACATAACGCCCTACCACCACTGCTTGTGTCTAAACATAACGCCCTACCACCACTGCTTGTGTCTAAACATAACGTCCTACCACCACTGCTTGTGTCTAAACATAACGCCCTACCACCACTGCTTGTGTCTAAATATAACGCCCTACCACCACTGCTTGTGTCTAAACATAACGTCCTACCACCACTGCTTGTGTCTAAACATAACGTCCTACCACCACTGCTTGTGCCTAAAAATAACGCCCTACCACCACTGCTTGTGCCTAAACATAAGGTCCTACCACCACTGCTTGTGTCTAAACATAACGCCCTACCACCACTGCTTGTGTCTAAACAAAACGTCCTACCACCACTGCTTGTGTCTAAACATAACGTCCTACCACCACTGCTTGTGTCTAAACATAACGTCCTACCACCACTGCTTGTGTCTAAACATAAAGTCCTACCACCACTGTTTGTGTCTAAACATTACGTCCTACCACCACTGCTTGTGTCTAAACATAACGTCCTACCACCACTGCTTGTGTCTAAACATAAGGTCCTACCACCACTGCTTGTGTCTAAACATAACGTCCTACCACCACTGCTTGTGTCTAAACATAAGGTCCTACCACCACTGCTTGTGTCTAAACATTACGTCCTACCACCACTGCTTGTGTCTAAACATAACGTCCTACCACCACTGCTTGTGTCTAAACATAAGGTCCTACCACCACTGCTTGTGTCTAAACATAACGTCCTACCACCACTGCTTGTGTCTAAACATAAGGTCCTACCACCACTGCTTGTGTCTAAACATAAGGTCCTACCACCACTGCTTGTGTCTAAACATAACGTCCTACCACCACTGCTTGTGTCTAAACATAAGGTCCTACCACCACTGCTTGTGTCTAAACATAAGGTCCTACCACCACTGCTTGTGCCTAAACATAAGGTCCTACCACCACTGCTTGTGCTTTGTAGCAGTTTAGTGAAGGTCTTTTTATAGCGAACAAACACATGCTACGGGGTTGAGGTCTTTATTGCGATGCGTTGAGTGTGATCAAGGATCTATATATCATACACCCTGAAACACATAATAACACAATAAATACTAAGCAAAACATTATTATTAATGCTAGATACATAGCATAGGCTTATTACAAGTAAGTATTTACATATATTAGTCATCCATTAAACACAAGATGTACATGATCAACAATACCGACATTCAAGGGAGATAACTCCTTGACTTTCATTTGACTATAATATATACACAATATATATACATAATATAAATGCATAACACTTACACATTCTGCATAAACATATACAATACTTTAAGACAGAAATTAATGATATGAGCTTACATTAAATGTGGTCATCACAATTAGATTACATTGTAAGTCTTAGACAAATATAAATAACACAATGCATACCCTGTGGGTGATACAAGGGTGTGGATCCCAACTGCCACACGTATGGCAACACCATAGATTATCTGAATAAACGATACATAGACTAAAACACTATTTAACATTTAATATATTGAACAAAGTAATACACACATTTTATTTACAATGATTTGCATTGTATCACATCTGAATCTCTACATTACAAAGCTTATTAAAACACTCTTGAGGTAAAACACTTTCACACATATTTCATTGAAGTGGTAGAATACATTTTAGTGATAAAGTATGGGTGTTTAGCTTATCTTATGCAGATTTAAATATTTAGACATAAATCAACATTTATGTTAGATTACATACATTTAGTTTACTTCATATAACACTTTGAACATACTGTATTATTTAAATACAACACAAGATAGAGATTATAACTATTCAACTCACCTGATTTAATATTGTCTCTTTACACTTTGCTGGTCTGAGCAGTTCTGTCAGTTTATCTGCTGAGAGAGTATGCAGTGTAATCAAAGCATGCAGTTTAACAATAGGTGTTAGCTTGGCCAATCAGCAAATGAAGCTTCTGGCCATGGGGCAGTTAGTAGGTAAGACAGGTCAGATACACTTTGTTATATCTGACTGAAACGGACAACTAGTTATATATGATAAATATACGTAAAAACCTAAAATGAAATTAAAACAAATATATACAAAACATACATCGGCCACATACTTTCCTCCATCGAAAAATGACGTCCACGTCACTTTACCGTGCCAGTGACAAGATCCAAGATGGCATTAGAAAGTCGGTGCTGCTGTTCTCGGAACAATCCGTCAGCTTGAAGTGAGCTGAGATAGTTGGCTCGCGTACGCCAGTCCCGATCTGCAACTGCAGAGAGAGCAAACTCTCCACTCTTCATCCATTTCGGCTGTGTCCGGGTCCGAGTAGACTGCCGTGGACGTGGAACAGGAGTGGTTGTCTCTGGAGTTGGATGTTGCTCTCTTTCTTCATTGTCATTGTCATCATCATGATCTGTCCCAGTAGCGTCATCTTCTTCACGAATCTGCTCAACATGCTGAACAGCATCCTCGGTTGGCTCTTCCTCCCCCTCTGCAATAGGAGTTCCATCTCCTTCAGATACAGTCTCTGATGGTTCCTCTTCAGTTGGCCCATCCACTGGTATATCAGTGGACACTGAAGCTTGTGGAGGGTGGGCATACTCAACAACAGTATCCTCGTCCGATGAAACATCGTCGTTGCTTTCTGTTGTCCTAGCAACTGGTGCTACTGGCAGTGTCCTCTGTCGTCTTGGTTTGGGTATTGGCACACCAAGGCTAGGCATAGAACCAACTGGCAGCAGGAGGTTACGATGCAAAATTCTCTTCCGCCCCTCACCATTTTCCTTACCAACTTCAAAGACTGGTATGGATGGGTTGGGTCGGCGTAGCACGACATAAACATCTTCCTCCCACTTGTCAGCTAACTTATGTCTACCTTCAAAGGCAACGATCTTCACTAAGACCCGGTCTCCTGGCTCTAACATGGCTGCTCTGGCTCTGTGATCATAGCCAATCTTCTGCTTGGATTGTGATTTCATTGCTGCTGTAGTAGTTAGCTCATAAGCTTGTCTGAGGCGATCTTTCAATGACTTGGTGTACTCGGTGGTGGACTTGGTACCTTGTGTCTCTATGTCCAAGCCAAAAGCTAAATCCACAGGTAGTCTAGGGTGTCTCCTGAACATCAAATAGAATGGAGCTGTTGATGTTGATTCGTGGCGGGTACAGTTGTAGGCATGGACGAGTGGTCCAACATGAGCCTTCCAATTCTTCTTCCTGTCCTGATCAAGAGTGCCAAGCATGTCGCATAGGGTGCGATTAAATCGCTCACACATCCCGTTGCCCATTGGATGGTAAGGTGTTGTGCGGGACTTGTCGATGTTCAGTAACTGGCATAACTCTTGCATTATCTTGCTGGTGAAGTTAGCTCCCTGATCCGAGTGAATTCTCTTTGGTAGAACGTAATGAACTATGAAGTTCGAAAAGAAAGTCTCAGCTGTTGTCTTAGCAGTCATGTTCTTGGTTGGGTATGCTTGTGCATAACGAGTAAAGTGGTCGGTCACAACCAAAACATGTTCTACTCCTCCTTTTGATGGTTCTAAGGTAAGAAAATCCATGCAAACAAGTTCCAAAGGTTCTGTTGTCTCAATACTTATCAATGGGGCTCTGATGTTGGTTGGTGCAGGTGAGTTTCCAAATCACGAGACATTCCTGGCCAGTAGAATCTATCTCTCAATAGTGACATTGTCCTGTCTCTGCCAGGATGTCCAACATTGTCGTGTAAACTCCTCATAGCCGCAGTGCGACATCTAGATGGAAGAACCAACTGGTCGTGATCAGCTCCATTGACATTGGTGACTCTGTATAAAACTCCTCTTTTGAGCTTGAACTGTTTGTAGCTTTTAAGCAGAGTAGTCATCTCTTGGTCCCGTAGAAACTGAGTTCTGTCTGGTCTCGTCCCATTCCGCAAGTGGTCTATGATCTCCACAAGTAATTGGTCTTTCGCTTGTGTGTGTCTCCAATCCCTGGCATGGTATTAGGCTTGAAATCAGTCTGTGCAGCCGCTCCAGACTCTAACACAAGTGGACCTTCCTGTTGTGCGACACCTGAAATCCAAGTCTTAAGGTCCTCAGGGGTGTCAACCTTAAGAGACATCCCCATCTTGGCAAAGACTGTAAGTAAGCTCTTCAATTCTTCCTCTCCGAGTTCCATTGTTAAAGAAATAAATCAGTGAGAGTTCTCCGGGAAGACCATGAGTATATCATATACACAAAAACAAATGAATGGATCTTATGAAAGAAGACACAAATCAAATGTGTAAACCGTCAAATCGTGTGAAAGATAACACAAGTCTGATGTGTAAGCCGTCAAACGAACAAAACTGTATCTACTATAGTCACATGATTACTTATGTAGTTATGACCACGTGATATAACACCCGAACGAAGATATAGCTAGGGCGAGATAAATGCAGTTGTTATTATGGGTAATAACAATACACATGGAAAGAAAACGGTTGCAGTTGGATAACTGACGAGTTAGACTTACTTACCAAATAGGACTAATTCATGTTGGCTAAATGTAGAAACAAAACAGAAATACAAGACAACACAATACGACATAGGTATAGGGAATGTGTTAGTAACAGTGCAGTAAAGTAGTGCTTACTGAGTCTGTCGTCAGGGTGTCAGAACATGAACACTTACATGATTACATTTTAATAAATACCTATTTATGCTTTATTATTTAAAGGTTTATTTAACTGAAAAAATGAAAGCAATAAATCACACGCTCATACTCACATTATGATGACTGGGAACTTCAACTCACTAAACTAATGCAGTATTACACTACTCAGGGTATGTAGATGTACTTATAGTGATACACAAACAGCAATGAACACATGAACTAAGAAAACTAAAGTAACTAAGAGTAACTAAAGAGTGACTGACTTGGGTTCAACGCCGTTATCAACAGTATTCAAGTTATATCACAGCGTATCAGCTTAATGTGGGGGAATAACCACAAGTGATGCAGGTCTCAGAGAGTTACCACTTTGGTGAAACCCATTGACACAGGGACATGGTGCTGACAAACCTAGAAACATAAAAGGGGTAATCCGGATTTGAAACGCTAAGGATAACTAATGGTGATCACCAAGGAATAAGATAAAATAAATAATTGTCAAAGACTACATGATAGCTAATTTATCTGGCCAGAAAATATAAAAATATGCAATAACAATACACAGCTACTAAAGCTAAATTACACAAGTGTTGAAAGAGTTGGTACCAACGTGGCTGGAGCAAAATATATTACAACTACATGTATGACGCAAGCAAGAAAATATTTAAACTCAAGACCTAATATATTGAAAGTACAACAGAAAGAACAATGTACATGTCCTACATGACTGATATCAAATCAGTAAACACAGCTTATCATTAGCTTTAAATGCTGTGTCAATACAGCAAAATATCGATGACAAATATCAAACAAGTCAAAGATGAAAAATTACATCATATAGATATGAGTAATATATAATTAATCAGAATTTATCAAACTTCAAATGTCTTTAGAATTCAGTTTATGTAGACAAACTGTCACAGTATGTGATACAGCATATGACACATGGTCATGACTGAACATCAAGTCATTACACAAGTAACTCTCAAATACCGTGGAGCACATGATGAGTGGACGAACTGACAGACCCGGACCCTCCAAGAATGAATAGGTGCACATCCCACGTAGTGGCTCACACAAGCATCCTTCCGCAAGATCCTCACTGGGGGCTCCAGTTTAGTGAAGGTCTTTTTAGAGCGAACAAACACATGCTACGGGGTTGAGGTCTTTATTGCGATGCGTTGAGTGTGATCAAGGATCTATATATCATACACCCTGAAACACATAATAACACAATAAATACTAAGTAAAACATTATCATTATTCTAGATACATAGCATAGGCTTATTACAAGTAATTATTTACATATATTAGTCATCCATTAAACACAAGATAGACTGAACCTTAAACGATTATACTAGAACATATACAGTATGTACATGATCAACAATACCGACATTCAAGGGAGATAACTCCTTGACTTTCATTTGACTATAATATATACACAATATATATACATAATATAAATGCATAACGCTTACACATTCTGCATAAACATATACAATACTTTAAGACAGAAATTAATGATATGAGCTTACATTAAATGTGGTCATCACAATTAGATTACATTGTATGTCTTAGACAAATATAAATAACACAATGCATACCCTGTGGGTGATACAAGGGTGTGGATCCCAACTGCCACACGTATGGCAACACCATTGATTATCTGAATAAACAATACATAGACTAAAACACTATTTAACATTTAATATATTGAACAAAGTAATACACACATTTTATTTACAATGATTTGCATTGTATCACATCTGAATCTCTACATTTCAAAGCTTATTAAAACACTCTTGAGGTAAAACACTTTCACACATATTTCATTGAAGTGATAGAATACATTTTAGTGATAAAGTATGGGTGTTTAGCTTATCTCATGCAGATTTAAATATTTAGACATAAATCAACATTTATGTTAGATTACATACATTTAGTTTACTTCATATAACACTTTGAACATACTGTATTATTTAAATACAACACAAGATAGAGATTATAACCATTTAACTCACCTGATTTAATATTGTCTCTTTACACTTTGCTGGTCTGAGCAGTTCTGTCAGTTTATGTGCTGAGAGAGTATGCAGTATAATCAAAGCATGCAGTTTAACAATAGGTGTTAGCTTGGCCAATCAGCAAATGAAGCTTCTGGCCATGGGGCAGTTAGTAGGTAAGACAGGTCAGATACACTTTGTTATAGCTGACTGTAACGGACAACTAGTTATATATAATAAATATACG